CCCTAATCTCTATATCCCCTAACCCACCTGCAAAGGGAGCTACATACCTTGGCTTTCCTCATCTTCACTGTCTACCTGTAGCAGCTGGTCCAGATGCTCTGGCAGATTCTGGAAGTTCAGGAATTTCCTGAGGAGAGTAAGAGATTGCCAGGGGTCCACAAGCCCTTGAAATCAGCCAGGATACCAAACTCCTGCCCTACTCTTTCTCAGAGTTTCCAAGAATGGCTGCCTAGACTCCATGAAAAGAACCCTGCCTGGTCCTCAGCTCTGGTTTGCAGGGATTCGGGAGACTGGGATTCGACATTAAACTAAAAATTATAACCAGTGGGGGCTGGGGATTTAGCTCAATGGCATAAGCACCTACCTGGCAAGTGTGAGGTTGTGAGTTTGATCCCTGGTACCAAAAACATAAAAATAAAAAATAAAAATTATAATCAGTCCTATTTGGTGCCTCAGGACTGTTAAAAAAAAAAAAAAGAGGCCTTCTCTAAGCCTTAATTCCCTCATCTGTAAAAAGGAGACAACAGCTCTTTGTAGGACACACTGAGATGATTCTAAGCAATTACACACACTGCCTGCCTCCCACTCTCAAAGGCAGTTGAGTTGTTGATGCCTGACAAAAGGAGGCTGGTAGGAAAGCCAGTTCCCAAGGTAGCAAATACTAAGGCTACCTAATCAAGCCCTGGACCCCTATGGTTCCTCTGGGCAGACTTTCTGCTTTGAAACATACATACCCTAGCAGTATGAAGGGCTCAGTGCTGGGCTGCTGGCTGACTCCATCCTATACCCTTAGCTGGCCAGCAGAGCACAAGGCCCTCCTGTCCAAAAGGACTGGGAAATCTGGCTGATTACCTCCCAGCACACGTGCCCAGAGCAGAAAGGACACTGTGTAATGCAGGCCAGCCCTGTCCTGAGCTCATTGCTAAGAATAGCAGGCAGTGGGATGGTGGCAGCCAGCAGGACTCAGCAGGGCAGAGGTCTGATACCTATCTGGACCCAACTCCTAGCTGCTAGCACCTGTTCTTCCATCTTTAATCTCAGTGCCTGCCCCACTCTTCTGCCTGAAAAGTAGTCCTTGGAAGGGGATACAGATGGGTCAAAGCATCAACTCCCACGAGCTGGCTATAGGGAAGCTTGGGGACCACATGTCCCCTGCTCTGAGCCATACTGACCCTGAGCTGACAGCCACAAAGAGCCATCCCTGCTGAGCCCCAGGCCAAGGCTAGGGAGCAGCTATGCAATGGAAAGTTGAAGCTAGCCACATATCTGAACAACCCAATTGAGTCCTCAAAAGTAGTTTTTGCAGGTCCAGGCTTAGGATGGCCACCCTCATGCCTGTCCCAAGAACAATAGCACAGAGCTGGGGAAAGTCAGCTGGAGACAGCCTCCTCTAAGTGTCTGCAGTACTGCCCATTTTGCCAACTCTAGAACCTGACTACCCTTTCTAGATTTTCCAGGTTCTAGCTCAGAGCCTTTCATCTCCATAACCTGACTGATGGCCCTGTGACCTGCTTTCCCTCCTGGCAGCCATGGCACTAGCAGCAGTAGAACCATCTCTGGTATCACATGAGAAACAGATCAGATGGCCCTGGGAACAAGCCAGGGCTAGGGTTGGGATGAGGGCAGACAGTTGCCTTCTACAAGTAAGAACCTTCTAACACCATGGCCACTTAAACAGAACAGGCAATGATGCCGCTCTAGCCCTGAAAGGTGCTGCCAAAATCACTAAAAAATTACTCATGGAAGAATGTTTTGTGATAAAAATGGGATTCAAATGTCTATAAACTTTTGAAAGGGAAGAATATGTTCATTACTTTGATTGTAATGTGTGTGTGTGTATTAAAACCTAAGTTGCAATCTGACAAAAACAAAACAAAAAAACCAAACAACCCTAAGTTGCACATGTTAGAAATATGTATGTGGGGGGCTGGGGATTTAGCTCAGTGGCATAAGTGCCTGCCTTGCAAGCAGGCAGTCGTGAGTTCGATCCCTGGTAACGATAAAAAGGAAAGACAAAAAAAAAAAAGAAATATGTATGTGAATTATAGCTCATAAAATTTTTAAAGAAGATCACTGAAGGTGACCATTTTTTTAGTGTTCTATACGGCACACCCTGAACTAATTGTGACACAAAGAAAATAGGAATCACATTCCATGTTGAAGTAACAAGGTGGCAGATACTTCTGCTTGTATTTCAGTTTCTAGTTAAGTGTGCATTTAACTCTTACACAGAGTAAGTTTGAACTTATTAAACTTGCAAGGAAAAGATGCTGGTGGAGTTGTACTTTACAAGTTCAGGCAGAGGTTACGGGGCCAGGATGGGGCAGAAGTCTGGGCAGACACACACACAGGGTCGATGCTGTTGTGGAGACCATACTAAGCTAGCACTGTACAGGCACCTCTCTCTGCCTTCCACCACATCCTCAGAAGGATCTAGCATTGCCGGAGAGAGGAACAAAAGATGTCAGTAGCAAACCCTCTAGCCACAGGTCTCTCAATCAGCAGCAGAGTGAGACCACAGCCCACGCCAGGCTGCCCCTCCCCAAAACAACACCTTTCAGCCTCATGTGATCTAGCAGGACAGGAGCCACCCACTCATTTATACCTGCTGGTGGCCGCAGGGGACACATGGTCAGGAGGGGAAAAGATGCGGTGCAGGTAGTCATTCAGCAGCTTCTCATGCACAATGCCTGGACCACAGGTCAAAATGGAGAAAAGGAGCACATGGTCAGTACCACACCTGGCTCCTGCTAGCCCAAAGACCACTGGTCCTCGGCCAGTCACAAGAGTCAGAAGAGCAGCTGTGCTGGATACGAGGCTCCATGGTTACTAGTGGAGAAGAGCTGGCTTGCAGGAACAAGGGGGTGCTGGAAGACCTGAGGCTCATCAGATCGAGGACTTTGATGCAGTTGTCCCTTTCCTTCTTCTCCCAACACAAAGAGCATCCTCCCTGTCCTAAGAGTCTTTACCTGTGACCCTGGACTTTTCAGCATCTGAGGTCAACTTATAGCTCTTCCGAGAGAAAGACATGCCTGCCCCCTTGGACGCCATTCTTCATATCTCATGGACAGCCAGTGGTCCTGGAGGCTGAGCCAGATGTGAAGCTTGTCTGCTCACAGCCAGCTGAGGGCCCGTGCACTTGACCTCAGTCTTGTGATGACAGGAAGGCTGGGGACAGATGAGGCCAGAAGCATGCAACTCACACACCAACCTACAACAGGAGAAACAGAAGCTCCTAGCTTCCTAGACAACTGCTGCAGCCTGAGGCCATGTGGCAGGGACCACAACTTGTTCCACCCTGTATTTCAGTGCTCAGCTCAGGGCCCACAGAGAGAAGGTACCAAATATATGTTTCTCAGCCATAACCAAATGTCTCCATCCTGGAAAAACCAGATTAAAATGTCCAAAGTGAGGTGGCTTAGACCCAAATCCCTGTATCCTTCTGTTGTAAGCCACTCTGATCCCACTTTGTGTTGACAAGAGACTCCTACAGTGTATTCCATCAAGCACAAAATACTAACATGCTCATCACTAGCCCTAAGTCCCACTTACTCCCCCAGAGAGGAGTGAGACTTTGACCCTCAGCCCCAGGTTCCTCCCTTCTTGTCCACAGTCTTGCTGTTTTCCTTGTTTCAACTCACATGTGGCTTCCCACCCCATCCAGATACCACCTTTGCACAGCCCTCATAGCAGACTCCATTCATCTTCCCTCTGCTGCTTCCCCCCCCCCCCCGCCCCCAGTAGCATGCTGCTGCCACTGTTTGAGAATCTGCACAAAATCCCTGGTCTCACCGAAATGGAGCTGAACCACCAACAATGTGTATATTAAAGCTTGAATCGGGGCTGGGGATTCAGCTCAGCGGCATAAGTGCCTGCCTTGCAAGCAGGCAGTCCTGAATTCAATCCCTGGTATTGATATAAATAAATAAATAAAATAAAGCTTGAATCGAAGTTTAAAAAATAGGGCCTGCCTGGCAGGCATGAGGTTGTGAGTTCAATCTCTGGTACAAAACAAAACAAACAGAAAAACCAACCAAGTTTAGAAAACAAAAAATCCAATTTCTCAACTACATTAGCAAGTTTCACCTGCGGCACAAACACTTGCCTGGCAAGTGCAAGGTCGTGAGTTCGATGCCTGGTGCAATAATAATAATAATGATAATGGTAGTTTCATAGCCACATGTGGCTGGCCTGCATTGGACTCAATCCCACCATCAGAGAAATTTCTGTGAATGATTATCCAGACGATGGCCCCCAACACTGCCTTAGCCATCATGCTCCTCACAGCACACCCTTATCTCAGCTCAAAGAGGCCCTCTACTCCCATCACAAGCCCTTGCCTTCTGCACCACGCCTGCCTCGGTAAGGCGACTCCCTTGCCCTGCCACCCATCGCGAGCCTTCAAGGGGCATTCGTGCTTTGTGTCCCTCACAACAGCACATTTTGTAGACTGATCAGCGCGGTCATTCAAAACCTTCTGGAAGCAAATCTTCCAGACGTGCACTCCAAGTGTCAGATGTTGAACCTTCAAATGAGAAGGAACTTGTTCCTGTCGTGGGGCTCCCTGTCACTGCGATCCTACCCAACCTTAACGAGAGATCCAGGTTCGGAACCAAACAGATTCCGCTTTGGGAGTCCAAGGACGCCGAGGGCAGCGCACGGCTCCCCCAAGTCGCCCCTTCCCGGCCCCGAGCTCCGGAGGACCTGTCAGGCCAGACCCTGCTCCGCGTCCCGCACCACCTAGGCCGTGTCCACCCCCTGCGGGGATTATTGCCCTGACCCGATGCGGGCCTCGAAGGCAGCCGCTGAGACTATCCGCTCAGAGCCCAGCGGACCCTAACTCACCCCTAGCCGCAGCCGCCGCCACCAGCGAACAACATCCGCCCAGCCTCTCAGCTACGGCGCCCTTCCAGGGCCAAATTACTCACTTCACCAACGCGCCGCACCGTCCGCCGTGCACGCGCGCGCGCGCACGCACTAGCCCGCTCCTGCCGGAGGCAACAGGAATCCTAGGCGCGACCTCCTGCCTGGTTTTTCTCAGCTGAGGTTTGGGTCACAAGGCCCAACTGCCGCAGGCAGATTCCCGCCTGCAGCAAAATGGTGGCCAAAACCCGTGTCCTACCTGGGATCCTGTGTCAATTGAGGATACCTGTGTCAACTGAAAACCAGGCCCAAATTTGACCTAGGATGACCGAAAGGCCACTCCTGCCAAGGTCCCTGCTACCTTCTTTAGTCCCAGTGGGTGGCCACACTCACCTTTCCTAGGATGACAGCAGTAAGCAGGGAACCTCCCTGGGCTCTGCTGCCAAGTGTGTGAGCTGACCTGCCTGCAGCTGGGCACAGCTGATAAGGCAGCAATGGAGGGAAGACAGCTAAGGCTCAGCTAAGTAGTGTTCTCAACAGGGATGAAACAAGGCTGGAACCCAGGTCTCTAGCAACTCCTACATCCTACATGCCCTGCAGAAGTCTTGAAGCCCACACCCCAGGCTACCTCATGAGGCTCCACTAAACCTAACTCCTGTCTGTTCCACAGGTAAGCCTCGAAGGGCGGTAGCTGTATTGAAGTGAGGGTGCTTGTACTGATCCAATGCCTGGCGCCTGGCTCCAGCCAGCTCCAGTCATATTCTCTCAGGTCAGGGGCCTACAGGCCTGGAGTGGAGGGTGTGGGGCCAGAGTCACCCAATCCTGCAGGGACAGGTTTCACAACTTCCCGGATGGGGCCGTGGTGGATCACAGTACAGTCCCTGGCCAAGAGGATGGGGTGGCTCCTACTCTTGCTGCTTCTAACACGAATTTTGGAGGCCCCAGGTAAGCACCCTTCTGATTCCCACCTGTCTTCAGGAGGGGTTTCCCCAGGTCCATGCTGTTGTGATTGCCAGGAACTCACTTTCTCACTGGGAAGAGCACAGTGACCTTGGCCTCTTGAGCCTAGCTAGGAAGCTCTGGGAAAACATGTGCATAATGCCAATGCCTACTCAGGCCTACGTTAACATTTCTTTCTTTTTGTCTTTTTCCATTTTATCGGTACCAGGGATCGAACTCACGACTGCCTGCTTGCAAGGCAGGCACTTATGTCACTGAGCTAAATCCCCAGCCCCAAAGAAGAAACTCTTGAATCTAACCTAGCACTTGTTTTCATGTGGGTAAAAGCCTAGACGTGGGAATCAGAATGCCTAGGTTGGGTTCCTGCCTGGTTATCGGAATGGTCTGAGCCTTAGCATTCTCATTTGAGAGACGAGACACATCAAACAGTGTCACCACAGCTCTCACAGACCTTTGTGTTGACCTGAGCCTAAGGCTGGGTCCACTAAGCAGAGGTACTTAGTGATTACTACCATGTCTGGGCTGCTTGCTCCACACAATGCAGGGGGCTGGGTTGGCTCTTGAAAGCACACACAGGGCCTGTCCTGGATATCTTACATTTGATCCCCCACTGAACAAAGCACAGGACATGCCAGCAGACATGCACTGACGTGTGTGCCTGTGTCACAGGGCAGCGCTCACCACTAAACGACTTCCAAGTGCTTCGAGGCACAGAGCTGCAGCACTTGCTACATGAAGTAGCTGGGTCTTGGCAGAAGGTCGTGGGAGATGCTGAAGAGTGTGCTAAGCACTGTGGGGCTCGCCTGGACTGTCGGTTAGTGGCTGGCCAAGTGGCGTAGATACGGTTGGGGGAAAGGGAACCTCGAACATGGCTAGCCCTGTGCATTTTCCTCCCCAGTGCCTTTCACTACAACATGAGCAGCCTCAGCTGCCAACTGCTGCCATGGACGCAGCACTCGCCTCACACAAGGCTGCGGCGTTCTGCAAGCTGTGATCTCTTCCAGAAGAAAGGCAAGTGGCACAAGGAGGAGCAGGGTGGGGATAGGGAGCCCAGGACCGCTGGTCCTGTTGACCTTTCCTCCCTTGCTTCTAGACTATGTGCGAACATGCATTATGGACAATGGGGTTAGGTACCGGGGCATCGTGGCCAAAACGGTAGATGGCCTGCTCTGCCAAAGCTGGAACCACAAGTTCCCCAATGACCACAAGTAAGACACACCTCCCTTTATCTCCATCAGCAGGCTTCTCCCAGCACATGCAGTGACGCTCTTTCCCCCCAGATATAAGCCCACACTCAGGAACGGCCTGGAAGAAAACTTCTGCCGCAATCCTGATGGGGACCTTGGAGGTCCTTGGTGCTATACAACAGACCCTACAGTGCGCTTCCAGAGCTGTGGCATCAAGTCCTGCAGGGAGGGTAAGTGGTGCTGGTTACATCATGCCTGGAGAGGGAGAGATAGGCCATCTTCCAGAAATTCCCTGGCCCTGTGTCTCCAGCTGCCTGTATCTGGTGTAATGGTGAGGATTATCGAGGTTCAGTGGACCACACAGAGTCGGGGCGAGAGTGCCAGCGCTGGGACCTGCAGCACCCACACGTGCACCCCTTTGAGCCTGACAAGTATGTGTTCAGGAGGGGACTAGGGGTGGTACCAGACCTATAAAAAACTGCAAGAGCGCTGGGAATATAGCTCAGCAGCACAAGCGCCTGCCTGGCAAGCACAAGGTCCTGAGTTCAATTGCTGATACAAAAAAAAAAAAAAAAAAAAAGGCTAGGGATTTAGCTCAGCAGCATAAGCACCAGCCATACAAGCACATGGTTAGGAGTTCAATCTCCGGTCCAAAAAAATTTTTTTTTTTTTTTTTTTTTTGCAGTACCAGGGATTGAACTCATGACCTCACACTTGCCAGGCCCATAAATAAAATTTTTTAAAAATTTCTGTTAAGAGGCAAGAGTCCCAGGGTCTTGTTCAGGCCTCGGTACTGCCCCCCTAGGTTCCTGGACAAAGATCTGGATGATAACTACTGCCGGAATCCTGATGGCTCCGAGAGGCCCTGGTGTTACACCACAGATCCAAAGCTTGAGAGGGAATTCTGTAATCTCCCCCGCTGTGGTGAGGCTCTGTCCAGGGTCTGGCAGGGTAACTGGGGAGCCAGAGGGCATGGCTTGGCTGGGTTGTTGGGGGGAGTGGGGAGCAAACACTGAGGAGTACCAGAGACCCAGGAATCAGTCAAGATTCCAGCTTCTGGGTCTGACCTGGCTTGGTCCACCCCAGGGTCCGAGGTACAGCCACATCAGGAAGCCACGACTTTCCACTGCTTCCGAGGAAAAGGTGAAGGCTATCGGGGAACTGCCAACACCACCACTGCAGGAGTGCCCTGCCAGCGCTGGGAGGCGCAGAGCCCACATCAACACAGATTCCTGCCTGAAAAATATGCCTGCAAGTGAGCGTCAGTGGTGGGTGGCCTGGGTTGGGCTGGGCGGGAGAGGCTTACAGGCCAGCCTTTTGGGACCTGGACCAGCAGAGCAAGTGGGTGCCTACCAGGGACCTCCGGGAAAACTTCTGCCGGAACCCCGATGGCTCAGAGGCCCCCTGGTGCTTCACAACAAGGCCTGGTATGCGTGTGGCTTTCTGCTACCAGATCCCCCGCTGCACCGAAGAAGTTGGGACCGAGGGTGAGGCTGGCAGGGGTGGGGTAGGGCACTAATCCCAGGCTGGAGACCCCAGGAGACAGGGAGTGGGGCCTGGCATGATGGTGCCTTGTGCCCACCTTCCACCAGACTGCTACAATGGCTCTGGGGAGCAATACCGAGGCTCTGTCAACAAGACCCGCAAGGGTGTCCCGTGCCAGCACTGGTCTGCTGAAACACCACACAAGCCACAGTGAGTACGGGGACTCCCAAAACTGGGCCTGAACCCCTGGGCAACACACCTTGGCCTGAGATGGCCCTGTTTCCCATCTAGATTCACACCCACCTCTGCCCCGTATGCTCAGCTGAAGGAAAACTTCTGCCGGAACCCTGATGGAGACAGCCATGGCCCCTGGTGTTACACTACTGACCCAGGAACCTCCTTTGACTACTGTGCCCTGCGTCGTTGTAGTAAGTACTGGAGACACAAGCCCTGAGCCAGCCCCACCTCCAAACTGATTCTCCAACTGGGCCAACTTGGTGTTTCAGATGATGACCCACCAGTGTCCATCCTGGACCCACCAGGTACGCACTTGGGCCAGGAGTAGGGGAACCCCCTCTGCCAAGACCTCCATCTAAGGTGGGATCCATTCATCTGCCCATCCCCCAGATCAGGTTGAGTTTGAGAAATGTGGCAAGAAGCTGGACAGGCCGCATCAGTGGCTCTCTAAGCTGCGCATAGTGGGGGGCCATCCTGGGAACTCCCCCTGGACAGTCAGCTTGCGCAACAGGTGAGGCACGAGTGGCTGTGTCCTCTCCGATGCCAGTGGGAAAGGGGACCTGTCTCTGGTCCCAGGGGCTTAACCAGAAAGCAGCAGATCTTGTATGTTTGAGGAATCACTGTTCTTTCTCTTAATGCCCACTTCTCCAGGCAAGGCCAGCATTTCTGCAGTGGGTCCCTAGTGAAGGAGCAGTGGGTGCTGACGGCCCGGCAATGCTTCCCATCCTGGTGAGCCTCCCTCAGGTCTGGACATATAATGCTGCCACTGTCCTCTTACCAGCCACTTTCCCCAGCCAAGCCAGCAAACAGGTTTTGGGGTAGGAGACCACGGCTGAGAATGAGGAGAACTTCTTTCCCAGCCACGCGCCTCTCACAGGATATGAAGTATGGTTGGGTACAATGTTCCAGAACCCACAGCCTGAAGAGCCAGGCCTGCAACAGATCCCAGTGGCTAAGATAGTCTGTGGGCCCTCAGATTCCCAGCTTGTCCTCCTCAAGCTGGAGAGGTATGTGGACAAGCTGAATGGGTGTGAGGACAGGCTGGGTTTGTGGCCCCCCATTCTGAGTGCCTCATTCCTGCTCAAGACCTGTGACCCTGAATCTGCGCGTGGCCCTGATCTGCCTGCCCCCTGAACGCTATGTGGTGCCTCCAGCAACAATGTGTGAGATCACAGGCTGGGGCGAGGCCAGAGGTAAGGATCCAGCCCATAGGCTGCTGCAGGCCAGGAGGCCCAACCCTGGATGATGTGCAAGCGCCCACTCCTTTTCCTCACTCCCCTCATGACAGGTCTAAGTCACAGGGTCCTAAATGTGGCCTCGCTGAATGTCATCTCCAACCAGGAGTGTAACATCAAGCACCGAGGGCGTGTACGGGAGAATGAGATGTGCACCAGGGCACTGATGGTTCCTGTAGGAGCCTGTGAGGTCAGCAGCAGGGCTTCTGAGCAGCCCAGGGAGGCTGTGGGTGGCTGGAAATGTACGACCTCATCCCCACAGGGGACAGTTGCTGCCATAGCCAAAGATCTCACAAGTCCTTCCTGCCAGGGTGACTACGGGGGCCCACTTGCCTGCTTTACCCATGACTGCTGGGTCCTGGAGGGAATTATAATCCCCAACCGAGTGTGTGCCAGGCCTGGCTGGCCAGCCATCTTCCTGCGTGTCTCTGTGTTTGTGGACTGGATTCACAAGGTCATCCAGCTGGGCTAGACTTGGCCTTGGTCCCTTGACTTGGAAAGGCCAAAGTTCTGGTCAGACATAAAGCCACCTTTCCTCTTTATACCTGTGCAGAACTCTTATTAGCCTAGGCAGTAAGCTGGTGATTTCTTGCTAGGACCTGGGAGCCTCTAAGCACACTCTGGGATGAGTGCCCTCACCCGGAACTATGTTAACCTGTAGGTGCTGTGGAAGGGCAGGGCCTCACATGTCTTCCAAAGGTGCTCTTAGGTGCAGAAGGTGATGTACAGCAGTTTCTCCCTGAGGGGACTGTAGCAAAAGAGCTCCACGGTTTGGTGCACAGTCCTTGTTGGCCAAGACAAGCAGACTGAACTTTTCACTGGCCCCTCTACTGACACTACAGGTAGAGGAAATCAGGGCAGGTTGGTGGCAAGGTTGGATGGCATGGTACAAAGTACCAGCATAAACCAGACTCTGTGTCCTCATTTATTATGACTACATTCTTCTGCCCTCTCATCCATGGAGTCTAGAGCCTAGGAAGCCTCTTGCTGCTCTGCCAGACCCAAGAGCTTCCAAGAACAAAGTGTGACATGAGCTGACCAGCTTGTGCAGCATGGCAGGGCTTCAGCTGCACAAGTGCGTGTGCAGCCAGAGCACAGCATTCATGAAGCTGTCTGATTCCACTTCCACCTCTGACAGTGCGTGGGTGCTTTTGGGATAGAGCAGGAGCCTGTAGAGGTGGGGCAGCACATGAGTCTGGAGGGTCCTCCCCTGCTCACCTGCCCCCCAGTTGCCAGGGCTGCCCTGTGGTACTCACCGGACAGGCACATTCCGGGCCTTGAGGGCACGGTAATACTCTATGCCCTGCTTAAAGGGCACACGCCGGTCCTCCTGGCCCAACATCAGTAGCAGTGGTGTCTTCACCTGAGTGTGTGAAAGACGGGGCAGGGATGAACCAGGTCCTAAAATCTGGATGGATGGGCAGCACGTGGGCAAGTATCGGGGAGAGCTGAGTACCTGAGGGATATATTTGATGGGTGACTTATCCAGCATGTCTGCCCATACATTGAGGTCTGGTAAGCAGTCGCTGTTATAAGGGAAGCCAACCTCTACTACACACCTGCAAGAGACCAAGCCAGAGCCAGGTGTCGTGGTGCCTATAATCCCAGCATTCTGGGGAAAAGCAGGAAGACTGCAAGTCTGAGCCCAATCTGGGTCACTTAGTGTCCTATTGAGACTCTGTCTCCAGACAAAGAGGTGGGGCAGTATTCAGACTTGGGTTCAAGGCACTAAAAAAATGCATTTTGTTTTCGTTTTCTTTGAGATAGGGCTTTGCTGTGTAGCCCAGGCTGTCAGCCTCCTGGGTGCTGTGATTACAGGTATGTGCCACCACTGATACCACAAAGAATGGAGACAAGGTCAGCGCAGTCCCAGGAATTGTGAGGCCTGCAGAGACACATGGGAATGTGAGGTGGAGAGAAGGATACACTTACCAGTCAGGGATGTCTGTGGAGCCCATCATAGAGGCAATGTTGATCACAGGGTTCCGGGCCACACAGGCGCTGTAAGTCTCTGGGTACTGGCCAATCAGGTGGCAGGAGAGGAACCCACCATGGGAACCACCCATGAGGGCCACACGTCCTGGATCAAAATGTTCTTCCTGGAGCACGTGCTCCACTGCAAACTATAGGATGGAGCATGGCATACTGCAGCCAAGCTGTCTGCAGCCACACCCGACAGCCCACTCTCTGGCCTGTCAGAAGCCCCAGCCCCCTTCTACCTGGACATCCTTCACATCCTGGTGGCCCACATTGCCTGGAAGGGAAAGGATGCTGTCCTGTCCAAAGCCAGTAGAGCCACGATAGTTCACTAAAGGTGAGGGACGGATCAGACAGGGTAGTTAGGTGACACTCTCAGCACCGTGGACACCACTTCATACATCTGTGAAGTAGGCCCAAAGCCCAGCCACATCACAGGCCACAAGGGAAAGGGATGAGAGTCCAGGCTGTTAACCAGGGACCACTTCCTTTCCATGGACGTATCCAAGTTCACATAGAGGCTAGGCCAGGGCAGTTTATGGTAGTGGATACTAGAGGAAATAACTAGAAGGGCCCAGAAATCAGAGTGGTAACCACAGAGTTTATACAAAACAAGCCTACCCCACCATTCTACCAAGGTCCTAGTAGAGCTACCAGTGCCTCCTTGCTCACCTAGTAGCACTGCAAAGCCCATCTTGCAGAACACGGCTGGGAACAGCATCCAGGCAGTGACAAAGGATGAGTGGGGTCCCCCTGGAGACAGGCAATGGAGGGTGAAAGGGCCAGCCAGATGAGGTTGAAGGAGGGCAGAGGCTCTTAGCCCAAATACCTACCATGGGGCATGACCACCATGGGCACCTGGGTCTTGTCTGGAGGATCACTGGGCTGCAAAAGGATTGCTTCAAAGTCAAGGCCAGCTGCAGGGAGAGAGCAGCAGTCAGCAGGGCTAAGGGTACTTCCCTGGGGCTTTCCCAGCCAAGGACCCATCTCTAGGTGCTGATCTAGGGTTGACCTGTGGAACCCATACCATGATGAATGGGCCTCTGAAACCTCATGTTTCTTCTGCCCTGTTCAAGGAGCTCTACTCTCAAGGGACAGCATTCTGGATAAGGTATGTTTGCACAGATAAGTTAATGAGGCCTATTCTCTTTGGGGCTTGGTTTCCCCACCAGATGATCTGGCCTGGTGGTACACAGTTCTAATACACGACGGAACAGATGCTCAGCCCTGGGTGCTACTCCTCAAGACCACAAGAACAGAAAACCTCTTCAAGGAGTCTCAGAAAACCACATGGTGGTGAGCAAGAGGCAGGGTCTCCACAGAGGCTGTGTGCCAGGAGGCCTGGCCATAGTGTCTCTCCGCCCTGGCCCAGCTTACCATACTGTCTATTCTCCTGCTCTGGGGGTGGCTTTAGCACTCGGATGCTCCAGTGGATGTCAGGAATGGGCTCGGCTTCCTCCAGGGACACCCACAATACTGACTGCTCCTTCCCTGCAGGAGGCAGGAAGCCAACTTTCTGCCAAGGGGAAGGAAACGTCTCACAGGTGGTTAGGGTGCCTCCCTGCCTTCTGCTCAAAGCAGGAGGTAGGCAGTTTTTACTGAGCTGGGCCTCATACCTACCTCCAGAGGACACAGCATGGGTTACTACTGGGAGCTGCTACATACCAAATACTCACAGTCACATCTGAACGTACCCCACCCTCCTCTGGTCCTAGCCTTTGCTGTCTCCCTGTGTTCTATAACATCAGCGGACCAGTTACTTTCCAGGTACCCTGTTCAGGACACAGCAGATCATGGCCCATAATCCCTCTATATGAGTGCCAAACCTTTAGGGACCACTCAGGGTGAGTCTGTCTTGACCCCTTTACATACTGACAAACTACAGTTGGTCTCTGAGCCAGCAGAGCTGCAGCCTTAAGCCTATGATCCACTAATACTCACCAGGCTCGGGGGCAGGCTGGGCGTGGAGAACTGTGCCACAATAAGGTCCCGATCAATTGTAAGCAGCTTCCAGCTTCCACCCAGCCCCCCTGGAGAAAGCAGACACCAGTAAGCACCTGGCAGGGCCACTATCTTCCCCACTTGTTCTTTGCAGTCGAAGATAAAGGTTCAGTGGAAAGGTGGCCCTTGGTCCCGTGAGGGGCAAAAGTCTCACGGGGCGGGGGGGGGAGGGGCCAGCTGCCTTCTTGCTTTATGCCTCTGTTTAGAGCAGGGGGTGGGTAGCTCTTAGCATGCTAAACCTCACACCTACCTCCAGAGGACACAGATGGATTCTCACTAAAACCTGATTGTATCAGCACTTAGACATAACGCACATGTACCCAATGCTCAGATCTCAGGCTCAGCTGTCTTTGTGCTCTGCAATACCACAAACACTCAGCTATGCCTGGCCCCAGGGACGTTTCTTGCTCAGAACCTTCTTTATCTGGCAGACCTGGGCTATGCCCAGGAACTGCCAGATGTGGGGGCGCACCAGACCATTAAGAAACTCCACCCCACCCCTTCGATGACTGTGGAGACAGCAGCTGGATCCAGGGAGTTGGATGGGATGGAGAATGGGCAGAGGGGTCCACACAGATATTTAAGTAGGACTCCTGTGATTAGCTATAGGGTTAGAATAGCTTTGTGGAGGAGCAGGTAGAGCCATCCCAGAAAGTTCAAAACTTCAATTCAGCTACAATCACTAGGCCTGAGTATGGAGATGAGGGATTTTGGGATCTTGGATTCCTGCTAGTCCCTGAGGGACCTGAGGGACCAGAGCTATCTCTGCCTGGGATACGCACCCAAGCTTTGGCAAGGGGGAGGATGACTGGCAGATCTCGGCAAAAGAGTGTTCTATGGGTCTGTGGAGCACGGGAGGTGATGTGCTAAATGGCAAGGGCCTTACAAGGGCAGGGTCCTAGGGGGACTAGCAACAAGATGTGCAGAAGTCAGTGATGAGAATGGCTACAGTGCCACTGCTGCCCCATGTTGAGCTCCAAACCCACCCCTCACCTGGCTGGCTTACCAGCCTTGCTCACCAGCTGTTAGGGACGTCACACTGCCCGTCTGGGTGTCCACTACAAACAGGTCCTAAATCAAAGGGGAGGCCTCATGTGGTACCACATCCCAGAGCTCTGTGGCTCCTGCCCCTACCTCCCCTCTCCTCACTTGGTGATCTGAGTCCAGCCTAGGGCTATAAGCAGCTATGGTGATGGTTACTCAGTGCAGTAAGAAGCAGCCCGAGGGCCTACTCGAACCTCATCTCCACTACAACTTACTGAGTATTGCTAGATAGGGAAAGGAATGCCACTGAGCCCCCTGAAGGAAATGAAAGAATGCCACTAGCCCCCTCCTAGCATGAGGGTGACACGATACCATACCACAAGGAGTTGGGCATGCTCATCCCACCCTGTATCGTCGTTGTCCTTACAATGTGTTCGGGGACCCACTTTAGTAGCAGATTCTTTGTCGCCCAGCTGGAAATGCCTGAGAAAGGCGGCACTCTGCCTCAGGCAGAAAGGCCAATGGCTTTTCAGGGGCAGCAGGCCTCCTAAAGGAGAAGCCAGGCCAGGCCAGGCCAGGG